GGGACACACATGCACAGACTGACTGCAGGCTATACATTTATACCATTCAAGCCACGTCATTACGTCCAGCTTACATTTTAATTGGGAACGAGATCCCTCTCTACAGATGTATCAATCCTGAAAATATATTGAAGCAACAATTTATTTCTTTTCTTCCATTTCTCATTGGTTCAACTCACACTTATTATAAATGCTGAATTGGCCAATCTCCGTTGAATCCACAAATCTGATTATATGTATTTCAGTGAGCACTTATTCTTTGCTAAGACAATCAATACCAACTCTAGATGTGGCACATCAAGGTGTGGATCAACAGGACAGATTTGTAACTTCTGGGGGGATCTGGGGGTAGTATCTGGTGTAGCATTATGGTTTTTTGTGTGCAATTATGGTAAAACGGAGCTGTCCATTACTCCATTATGAAGAAGTCAGTGATTTGCCACTTGAAGATTTGTTTATCTGAAGGTCGAAGCTAACTTATCTCTTGGTGAAGTGGCAGACGCTGAGAGGATCTTCTGTATTTTGCCTTGGCATAAAACCAAGTGAAAGTGGTGAAACTCTGGTCATGCCATTTCCACTGTGTTCAAACAAAAAAACATGTCTTCTGTTCGGACACGATCCCAGACCTCTGCATCTTTTGTTACTTTCTTCTACACTATTTGTTTGACACAGTTTAGGTTCATAGCCCTGGCTTCACATCTCATTGGATCAGGTCGTTGATTGTTGGTCAACTCTTCTTCAGTGAGTGTGTGAAGTTGCAAGAGCTGGAAACCTCTGTCGTATACAGCATTCAAGAACATCGAGCACATGGGTCCTTCGGCGCCAAGCTAGTAATACCCTATCCATCCATCCATCCATTCATTTTCTTCCGCTTCATCCGTTGCCGGGTCGCGGGGGCAGCAGTCTAAGCAGAGACGCCCAGACTTCCCTATCCACACACACTTCCTCCAGCTCGTCCGGGGGGACCCCAAGGCGTTCCCAGGCCAGCTGAGAGACATAGTCCCTCCAGCGTGTCCTGGGTCTTCCCCGGGGCCTCCTCCCGGTGGGACGTGCCCGGAACACCTCCCCAGGGAGGTGTCCAGGAGGCATCCGGAACAGAAGCCCGAGCCACCTCAACTGCTTCCTCTCGACGTGGAGTAGCAGCGGCTCTACTCCGAGCTCCTCCCGTGTGACTGAGCTCCTCACCCTATCTCTAAGGGAGCGCCCAGCCACTCTGCGGAGGAAGCTCATTCCGACCGCTTGTATCCGCGATCTTGTTCTTTCGGTCATGACCCAAAGCTCATGACCATAGGTGAGGGAGGGAACGAAGATTGACCGGTAAATTGAGAGCTTTGCCTTTCGGCTCAGCTCCCTCTTTACCACACGGTCCGATACAGCGACCGCAATCTCACGCTCCATCCTTCCCTCACTCGTGAACAAGACCCCGAGATACTTGAACTTTCAGATTTGGAGGTGCTGATTCTCATCCCAGCCGCTTCACACTCGGCTGCAAACCGTCCCAGTGCATGTTGTAGGTCCTGGTTCGTTGGAGCCAACAGGACAACATCGTCCGCAAACAGCAGAGATGAAATCCTGTGGTCCCCGAACCAGACCCCCTCCGACCCCTGGCTGCGCCTAGAAATTCTGTCCATGAATACAGTGATCAGAACCGGTGACAAAGGGCAGCCCTGGCGGAGGACAACATGCACCGGGAACAGGTCTGACTGACTGCCGGCAATGCACACGCAGCTCTGGCTCCGGTCATACAGGGACTGGACGGCCCTCAGCAGAGGACCCCGGACCCCGTACTCACGGAGGAACCCCCAAAGGACACCCCGGGGAACACGGTCGAACGCCTTCTGCCGGGACCACCACCAGAGACCTTGCGACCACAGCTACGAGCCGCCGCATCGGCGATAGAGGAAGAGAACAAGATCCACTCAGACTCGATATCCCCCCCCTCTGCCGGGACCTGGGAGAAGCTCTCCCGGAGGTGAGAGGTGCACCAGTGCACGTGGTGCCACGTGCACTGGTGGACACCCTTGTGCTCGAACATGGTGTTCGTTAATACCCTATCCAGTTATTATAATAGATCCATGGTGTGAGGCCTTGCAAGAAGTGGGAGGTTTTTAAAATGTATTGTGAAAAGATGAGGTTGCGCTGTCTCCATCTGCAACACGACACGGTGGTTGTGGATGAATGGGGCCTCAGGGTTTCTGTGTATTCACCAAACCATCAATGAAATGCACCTACAACACAGCTTCACAGTCATTAAAGATGAGTTAACCAACGTTCCACAGGCCATATACAGAGTTTTACAGCTTTAGGTGGAGCCAATCAAAAACATTATTAGTATCATTATCATTATTATTATTACAAAAGCTCAAGAGAGACGAGAGCTGCAGTGGGTCTAAAATTGTCAGGTGCTCATCAGGATCAGCAGTGGCAAAAACACTGGGAACTTATGAAGAGAGGAGAAAAATCCGAGGCACTCTTGACAATAAAATAAAAATCCCTTAATGAAGAGGGATTTTGCAAGATCCCTGTTCATGAAAGGATTATTATTGTGTTGTGAAGAGTGCCTCGGATTCTTCTCCCCTCTTCATTATTATTATGATATTGTGTTATTATCTTTTAAACATGTAATAATGTATTCATAGATTTGGTTTTTATTTTTGTAAAAATTAAGAAATTGATACCAATTTTTTTCAACTGTTAAAAACACACAAACTAAAAAGCACAACATTGTGGAAAAGAAAACAAAAGTATATACTATAACTGTCTCTGTTTTCTTCATTCTGACATATTGGACAGTGCAGTGCAGCCATTCCTCTTCTAATTAAGTTCAAAGAAAGAAAACGATCATTAGCCGGGCTGCGATACGCACATTTTGACCTGCTTGTGCAGCACTAACGACAGCCGGAAAATCTCAGTGGATTACTACATGCATAAACACACCAATATATCTCCACATGTCTATAAAAATACTGTTTAAACCCCGTCCAAAGTCTGAAGAGGCTGCTGTTAAATAAGGTCAATATAAATAGGTTAGTATGGGGCTCTGAACTGTCACCGCCATGTCCTTGAAAATATGTTGAAAATATACATACTTGAAACACTGCAATGAATAGATCAGTGGAATTAAAATTAATGTATACCTGTCCGTGCTTTAATACATAAAGTAAAATGAGTCAACCCGCTTTGTCTCACTTATATAATAATATCTTGTGTTTAGGCCAGTCAGCAGCACGTGAGACAAAACCTTCGATTGCATCGGAAGGTGGAAGTGTTTTATCTGTGCATTTATGTTGACATTGGCTGTTCACGTTGACATTCTGGTGCAGTTCTGTGATTTCCACAGTGGAGCACGTTTTCCTCTGATTAGTGGCCGGATGACGTGCTCATACCTAACCGTGGTCACATTGGCTCTTAATTGCAAACCATTCACACTAACATTTAATCTCCCTCCATTTTCTTTCACATTCTGTACGTAACGATGGGCTGAGGATAAATTCTCTGTGATTCATCGGTAGTTGTAACCTTAAATTATAAAAGCTATAATAATGCTATCCATCCATCCATCCTTCCTTTCCCCTTTGTCCATTTCTGGGTCAGGGGGGGTAGCAATCAACCCCCCAATTCACAGAGCACTGAGACCACAGGAGGATGGCTGCTCTGTCGGGGGTGCAGTGCCTTGATTTTTCAGCAGGGGCTTCAGGAAAAGTCGGTGTCTTGCCCAAGGACACAACGTCATCACCAGGAGTTGGTGGAGAGGGTCTCGAACCAACGACTTTCAGGCTTAAAGGCCAATGCTCTACCAACTGAGCCACTGTTGCCCTTGCATATGTGCGTGCTAGTGAAATATATAAAAATAGCATTATAAGCTAATAGTTTTCTTTGGCAGAAGAAAATGTCTCTTTATAATATTTTTTTTTGCAGACCCCTGGTTCTAGCTCTTTGTGAATTCAGAGCTATTTTATTTTTTATTTCTTTATCAATATTTGAGATACTCATAGGATCATGAAATACTTTCCAGATAATCTATTCGAATCCATATTGCTGTGTTTATTGCTGTGAATAATGAAAAGACAGATTGACTGTGTCTCTATTATCCCCATCCCAGAGTCAGTGCAGATCTGGGTCACTCGCCCCACAGCTCACCACAGCTCTAATTAAACTTTAACCACTTCTAAGTATATTTCTGTGTCTTTGCTTCTTCAAACCACAAACCATTCCCACCAGGAGGAGTACAAGACACAGGGAGATCTCCACTCTCCTCCCAGCGCTGTGTTGTGTTTAACAAGACTTTTGGCTAATTTTGAGCGTTTGGTCAACACCAAAGTAAGGACTTGGGATTTGGGTGGTACTGATACTGGTACTACTGATACTGATACTGATACTACTGATACTGGTACTGATACTGGTACTGATACTGATACTACTGATACTGGTACTGATACTGATACTACTGATACTGGTGCTGATACTGATACTGGTACTGATACTACTGATACTGGTACTGATACTGGTGCTGATACTGATACTGGTACTGATACTGATACTACTGATACTGGTGCTGATACTGATACTGGTACTGATACTGGTACTGATACTGATACTACTGATACTGGTACTGATACTGATACTACTGATACTGGTGCTGATACTGATACTACTGATACTGGTGCTGATACTGATACTGGTACTGGTACTGTTATTGGTACTGGTACTGGTACTGATACTGGTACTGATACTGGTTCTACTGCGTATCAAAATTTGCTCAACTGTTAAACATGCTCCAAATCTCCAGAAAAATTTGCAAGAAATTGAAATTACTCCATATTTACTGTAAGTAAATTGAAAGTGCCAAATGTTATACTAGTGTCAAATGTTTATAGATATATAATACAGATAATAAAGAGTTTTGTGTTTTTAACACTGTAATGTAAAATAAGAAAGAATGTTGTCTGATTATAACAACACACTGTACAAGCAGATTTTGGAGAAAACAGCCGCCTTACCGAAGTGACATACTGTATTTCCCGACACAGTTTTGTCTCCCTGGGGAAATCTGCAAGATCCAGGAAGTTGTCGACCACCACTTGTCCAATCACATCGTGGCGTGAGAAGCGATCGAAGTCATAGACACTGAAGTGGAGTTTGCGGCTGGACAGCTCTGCGTAGGCCACGGGGAAAAGGAAGACCTCATCAAACACAGGGTTCAGGGTTTTGCGGTGAACCTTAGTCTGGTGCTTGTTTTTGCGGTCTGGCAGTAAGTAGATCTTTACATATGGGTCAGACGTCCCTGAGAAGTCTTTGGCAGGGAGGTCCTGAGCCTTGTGGATCTTTACAATGAGCTGTTCCAGATCAAAGTCAAACTTCAGGATGAAGTAAATGCGTCCACAGCTGTTAGTCCGTCGGATGTCGTCCCCCTCTACCGACCGCTGCTTGTAAAGCTCCGGTTTGATCCGACCCAGTCCAGACAGAGAATCCTGCCGCTGGAACTGAGATGGGTTAAAATCCGGATTGGACAAGTTCATCTGACGCCGGATAGAGTTGTGACTGTAAAACAGGTTTAATATATGTTAATTTAGAACTTACAATACATCATAAACTAAAACTAGGTCAGCAATATTTATAATTTTCTATTATACTTGAGGTGTTCTCATACTTTACTCCTGACATGATTGAAGTTCTTGGTGAATTTATGTGGCCTGAGGTTGCCGTAGTACTTTCATGTCTAGACTGTTAAATCTGATTTTGTTATTTCTACATCTCTGATGAGATTTCAGTCAGCTCTATATCTTTCCGCCTCAAAGCAAAGGACCAACGATTACTGACCGCACAGAGGAGGTGGGCTCCGTGATCTGCCTCTGCACTCTGTCCCTGGCAATGGTGTGGACCTGGTTCCTCTCCACTTTGCTCTGAGCCTCCAGAGGAATATCAGGTGACGTGTGGCTGATCTTCAAGCCTGATTCTGGGACGGCTGTGGCCAACGGAGGCCCACAAGGGTCCTTCACACACCCATCCTCACTGTACTCCCGCTCATCTCCATCCACCTGCAACACAGAATTGCTATCAGTATTTTACACATTCATCCGGAAACAGAAATTTCCCTACATTCTTATTTAGGGAAATACCTATGTATATCATATACGGGTGATACATTGGCTCACTCCATCTATTTAGTTGAACACATATATATTTCAGCTTCTGTCTGTGCATTCATTATATATTAGCTTTTTTTGGGTAGCTATGTGTCTGATTGTTTGATTAAAACAAAAAGATCTATATAGTTTCAACCATTTATATTGGTCATAGCGCCGAACTGATGCAAACTAGTCAGAATGAAAACTTATTTGGTTGACCACCATCGTTCATGCCCAAACCAGACCAGTGACGTTCGGTCAGGGGAGGCATCATGGAGAGAAAAAAGAATACAATGGAAACAATAATAATTTGTCACAATTTACCAAGTAAGTTGTGCTTTTGCCTTATTTCAAATATTTTTACTTCAAAACTGCTGATTTTTTTCATATTTGACAGTGAGGCAAGCCTCACTTGATACCAAAGCCTCAGCTCTCAGTGGGAGAATGCTGTGCAGTGCGATCGTACTACACTGTCAGCTCAAGGCTTATTTCCAAATGGAGAATTATACAGTATAGCTACACTCAAATATTATCTGGACTTAAAAATGAAACTGGTCTGAACTGAAGTTCAGTTCATTTATATGATAAGGCCCATAAAACACTTTTAAATGTGCTTATTAACACACTTTTGTGTTTTGTGTGAGCAAACGATGGGGATATGAAACATATTCTGCTGTTGCCAAACAAACTGTGATTAACCTATTGTACATGTTTTTAGTGGTAGGGGAAACTGGAGCACACGGAGGAAACCTACACAGGCATGGGGAGAACATGCATACTCCGCTCAGAAAGACCCTGTTCCGACTGAGAAGCGAGAGTGCTATCCACTCAGCCACTGTGGCACCTGATGTTCCCAGGTCTTCCATCTAACCAGGCCCTGCCCTGCTTAGCTACTGAGGTCTGACAGGATCGGGCTTTCACAGGCAGGTGGCACCACATTGGACATGTCTCAGTGAACAGTACCGAGATACAACAATGTGTTTGTTAGAGTGTACTTCTGTGAGGACGGGCTGCTGGTCGCCTCCCAGGAAATGCGCCCCTTTCAGAATGTCTGGGAGGTAGCGTCCGCTCAGTGGCACCCAGCATAACTTCCAGGTGACGAAGAGGGACACACTGAAGAGGGCCAGACCACAAGAAGTCACCAGCAGAGACAGAAGGCTCACAGATACATCTGCAGATAGAAGAAAAATAGACAAAGAATGAGTGAAGAATGGCTTCTGCTTTGATGCCTGTCTCACTTATTATTCCCCTGTTCCATCAGTCATGATTTAAATTTCAATAAAATACAGTTGAGTAAGAAAACAAACTCCAATCAACATTTGACAAGCGAAGGGCAAAAAATTCCTCAGTTGAAATCCGAATACCTTTTACTAAGACATGTTTGTTGACAGTACGACAAAGTTAGCTGCTCACAGCCACAATTGTTTACCACTTTCAATGATGTGAGAGTAAGTGTCTGTTAGTTGGAAACAATCATTGTTCCATTTCCAAATAATCAGTGAAATAGGCCACTCCCTGCAACGTAACTGCAAATGAGTGCCTCATGCATTATTACCCAGCCATAAAATACAGACGAGTGTGTTGGAAGAATCCTGCCCCTCAGTCTAGCACCAAAGACTGGAGATAAAAACAACAGTGCTTCTGTCATGCCCTTTTACATTTTAAACATGTATAAAATAAAACCTTTATCTGTTTAATCTTTGGGACTTGAACTTATTATTCAGAGGACCTGCTCTTGATTTTGAAATTTGATTTGATCTATTTCTTGTCTATAAGTCTTTTAAACCAGATTAGGGATCAGCTTTATTCACATGCACAACCACACACACGTATCGTCCAGATATTCCTTGAAACTTTGATATAAAATAAATTCAATCTGTAAAGACTCAGACAGGGTGTATTCGAAACATGCTTATTGAGTTACTTTTTAATGTAGTATTGGTTTCTACATGAATAAACATTTCGACCTGACAGACTTAGAATATAGAACTACATTTACTACCAGACCCCAGCAGTGGTCTAGCGGTGTTCTGCCTACTGTGGAGGTGGTGATGGGGAGGAGGCGGGTTGTTGCACAAGCAGGAGCTTAGTGGAAATTGTGAGGCACTGTATTAAGCCAGAGAAGGTCACAGCACAGATGTGTCAATGATCCAGCTGTGGCTGATGAGCTCAGGTGCAGGGGATAGTAGTACAAGCCAAGTATGCAGGTGGAATAGTAACCATATTGCAGTCCGAAAGTTCCTCCTTTTACTTTGATATGTCTTTTTAAAGTCTGTCGAATACGGGAATTATTTTGGTCTCAACCTCAACATGATCTGTTTTGAGTTTTGTCTCAGTAATTGTGTGATAGGTTTTAATTAGACAAAGCCATTCTTTAAATTGTGAAATGCAACTTGTTTGTGATTCTGCGTGTGGAGTGAACACAGTATCATTATGTACTGAATAATTTGATTAAAATTGCAGGGTCACAGCGTTCTCGCCTCTCAGCAAAAGATCCTGAGAAGGATTCTAGGACGTGATCTTTTTTAATGTAGTTTGCGTGTTCTCTCCATACATTTCCCCAACCTCCATAAACATTCGCCCACTTATTTTGCACCAAAACCTGCAGGTCAGTCAACATTGGTGGAGACTAGCTTGGTTGTTGATGGTGGTGGTGATAAACTACTGCTGTGCCTTGGGGCAGCCTGACAGAAGTGAGGCAACACACTAGGCCAGTGTCTCCCAAAGTGGGGTCCGCGGCCCCCTGGTGGGCCGCGAGGGTACTGCAGGGGGGCCGCGGGAGGTCATAAAAAAAAAAATATATATATATATATATATATATAATTATTTAATGTTAAATTTATAATGTTTTGTTTGTAATATTAAAATATTTGTGTTCATTATTTGACTTGAATAATCCACTGTAATCATTTTTGTATTACAATGTTTGTAACAGAGGCTATTTCCCCAAAATAAAATAACCAGAAGAGCCTATTCTTAATGTTGTCTTCTTGGTTATTATTTTGGGGGGCCACGCAGACCCTTCAGATTTTTAAGGGGGCCTCGGTGTTACTGAGTTTGGGAATGGCTGCACTAGGCAATGTAGGTGAAGTGCCTTGCCTAAGGACACAACGACAGTTTGGCAGAAGCTTTCATCATTAGAACAGACCAAAAAAAAAGTATCACAAATTCCAAAAAAACCTCCTCTGCTGAATACAGTAGCCTACATTACAATATCATCATTTATTCAAACAATGCCACAATGGTGTTCTCTCTCCAACCAACAATAAAAACCTAAAACTCTGCCATACATCATTCAAAGTGCATTTTAAATCCTTTTATTGACTTCATTAAAAATACATAACAACCTCAACAATAGTATTGCTGCCAACCATTGTGTATCTTGCTTTAGTGTTGCTTTTGTCCATTTTTAAACCTGCATCTTTTCTTTCCATTTCACAAAACAACCCAAACTTTGACAAACGGACTAAGGTTTTTTTTTGTTTTTTTTTCGCAGTACCTGAAATAAATGGTTTGTATTCACTCCACTGCAGAGAACCATCACACCTCCACTAATTCCAGCTGGTGCACAGAACATGTAATTAAATGACATATGTGAGGATTATAGCACCCCGGGGTCTCCATGGAAACGACGGTCACAGACTGCATCACAAAAGCAGATGCCAGTGAACACACGACAAGGTGCCTATAGCGGCCACAGCATGACATCATCAGGCTGCGAGATAAAAGCAACACTACCGCAGTCGACTATGAGAAATCACTCGCCTCCATCTAACCTTATTCTCTCACTAACTAAATAATGTCTCCTTCCACTACGTCCATAAATCTTGTTGTCTTGCTCCAGCTCTCGTACCTGACACCTACGAACTCAGCATCTTTCTACTACGTCTCATTCTGTTCTCTAACCTCAAAGAAATGTAAATACTTTAATATGCTTTTATCACAATTTTGTCTCCCTTTGTACAGATATCAGATTCCTGCTGACAGTGCTTGAATTCAGACTCATATCTATGTATTTTTATATAGCCCTAAATCACAACAGTTGTTAACTATCTTGGATGTTGAAAGATGTTGCACATGTATTAATCATTAAGAGGTTAATAAAACAAAAAAATAAAAAAAGGATTTGTGTTATTAAGTGCTCCTACATCTCGGAAAATCAAAAAAAAAAAATGAGTGAATGTTAAAGGGTTATAGTGGCTGAGACCAAAGGCAACATACAGATTAATAAAAACAAAAATGTGGATATACAGACAATTAGGTAAAGTAGATGTATCTACTCGACACTTGTACATGCAGATTGGTACCACTGGGTCAGCATTGCACTGGGATACGAAGCAGCAGCTGCCAGAGATGCTTGCGCTAAAAACAAAATAGAAATTTCTCAAAATAGGGCTTACAGATGCTCCTGAGGTAAACTGGCTTGCATGGAAGAGCAGTTTTTCACTTATAATAATGGACATTATACAAGTCTGGCTGGCCTGGAGATTGGTCTTTCAAATCAGCCAAAGCAGCCTGGCGACCTCGCCTTCATTCAATTACCTTTGTTATAGTCTCTGAAGGCACAGGGCCTCTGCTCTTTTCATGTCTCCTCTATGGCTGCAATCAGGATAGGCCCTAAACCCATATACAGCTGCACAGCCTAATTGGATTCAAGGCTCCAACAATCAGTCGGCTCAGCACTCACTACAGGAAGTCAACAATTATAATTTAAAATGGGTTACACTGCCACTGATTACTCCATTTGCACTGCACTGTTTGCTTTCATTAATGCGTGCAATAAATATAGAGTCAAATATAAATTCCATAATTTTAAGCTCAGACTGAGACATCAAAGGTGCCAGGGCGCAAACTTATAACGGCTTGCAGTTAATTACCGAGGCTGACTTCTCCACCGCCATACGGACATTACATAAATGGTTCATTCCAACGTATGGCCAGGTCAGACCAAGCATGCAGCCCTATTTAGACTTTTAAATCTCAAGGACAGGACGGTCAATTAATCAAACAGCCACATTAAGCCCATAGGTGTAAGCACAGCTGACTTCATGCACTGAATTTAAAATGCAGCTTCAAAAGAACATCGCTTTATGATTGCTTTGACTTCAGAAGAGTTTGCTCAGTATATTACAGAAATAGTTGAAAGCAATAAATATGAGACCCTTAACGACTCATTTGGAAAAACATATAAATAATGTGTTTTCATTCAGTGTCCATCCCTGAAATCGCTCTTGTTGACTATGAATTTCCCTTTTAGGAGCGAGAAAGTTTATATAGGGGTGTCTATTTAATTTTAATATATTGAAGAAGATGACAAAGTCTGGGATCGTGTCATAAATTCCGACAGAAGACATGTTTTATTGTCAATGGTAGAGACAGCACGATCAAAGCACACGATCACAGATACAACAGAATGCAAGTGTATTATACAGAGCGGAGGCATGGAGTCCTCCAATCAGCAGCTGCCACGGTGCCATGTAGCTTGGCCTTCAGATAGACAAAACAAGGGAAAAGTACAGGCTTCTGCACATTGAAAGAATGATGAGTTTAACTTTAACAAAAGTTGCTTCAAAGTGTTATGAAATCTCACAATATTTCACTGTATACACCAACAACCAATAAAAGTGTTTGTGGCAAGATTTTATGCACCAATGCTTCAAAACTCTTTGGAAAGCGGGGCCCACGGTGCAGATGGACATTAACCTGAAGTATACTGCAAAAGCTCCCACAGAGAATGTTGTGCAATGGCCAAGACAGTCACATAACCCAGATACGAATGAGCAGCATTTCACCTGCTCAGGACAAACATGAATGGAAAAGGCATTGGAGACCCGGCAGAGCATCACCAGAGAACAAACACAGAATCTGAAGGTGCTCATACCGTATAGATGTCGATACTGCGAAAAAATACTATACTCTGTACCAAATTCAATACCACAGCAAAAAATGTAAAATGGACAATTATGGATATTTAGCTAAACTTATGGATATTGGTCATCTGCTTCTTATGAACCAATACCAACGTGTTTTCTGATTTATTGCTAACTACTGTTGTGATTTAGGGCTATACAAGAATAAACGGATTTATTATTATACAACTGGATTCAGATTCAGATTCAGTATATTTGCCATTTGCAGTAAAAAAAAACACATTGGAATACATTTGCAAAA